ACTTCTACAGTTTTGGATCCAGTTTGTGAGGAAAAATCAGCAGCTGAAATATGAACCAATATTTTTCCATCCTCAGCTGCTTGGTCAACCAAGTATCTCTTGCGTTTTGTTTATTCCGTGATTGACTCATGGTTTGCACTTCATCCAGGCTTTACAAGGCCAATCAATGCCCTGACATGGCATAATTGGATTAATCCTGGAAAAGGGTGCTTTGCGCCTGGCTGATTTGCAAATTGAAGACACTGACCCGGATTCCACAAAGTTTCATTCTGTTTGACAGCCAAGGCATGAAAAATGTTTTATCTGCACACTTTGCTTTCACTGACACCTGCCTTTTTGCAATTTAGCAAAAATCAGACAACCATTGTCCTCAAAAAATCCCGAACTTTATCATTTATTAGATCAGAAGTCATTGGCTCTGACAGGATTTGACAAAGCCTGAATAGTACTTTGGTTATCATAATATTTCATACTCCAGAGAAAACTCATTCAAATGCCAAAACCCCCACAGAATTCACGTCTTCTGGGAAGCAGTTAGCAAACATTTATTTGGCTGAAATAACGCTAAAAACATATACATCACAAATATGTTATAATTTTAGACAGTTGCACATCTAGTAGGATGTTGACCCCAGTAACCAAATCATAGCGCCAAAGATAATGCAGTGTTGTTGGTGAACTAGCAAGCTACAGACTCAGGTAATATTCTGGGGTCCTGGGTTCAAATCCCACCATGACAGAAGGTGGAATTTGTATATAATAAATGTCTGAAATTAAAGGTCTAATGATGACAATGAAATCATTGTTAAATGTCAAGGAAAAAAGAACCCATTTGGTTCACTAATGTCTGTTAGGGAAGGAAATTGCCATCCTTACCTGGTCTGGCCTACATGTGACTCCAGACTCACAGCAAAGTGGTTGACTCTTAACTGCTCTCTGATAATTAGGGATGGACAATGAATGCTGGTTTAGCCAACATAGTGTGGAGCTGGAGGAACACAGCAGGCCAGGCAGCATCAGAGGAGCAGGAAAGCTGATGTTTTGGGTCGGGACCCTTCTTCAGAAATGGGGAAGAAGGGTCCCTACCCAAAACATCAGCTTTGTCCTCTGATGCTGCGTGGCCTGCTGTGCTCTTCCAGCTCCACATTGTGTTATCTCTGACTCCAGCATTGGCAGTTCTTACTATCTCTGGTTTAGCCAGTAATGCCCACATCCCTTGAATGAATTAAGGAAAAATACAAAAGGCTTAAAAATTCCTCGTGTTTCTGCAGATCACCTCCATGACTTTCCTGCACGCTTCGGTGAAGGATGAATTACAACAGGTTGCTGGCTGGAGCTTTGAAGGATCCAAGTGGTGATCCTGGAAGCCCCTTTGTGAATAGGGCTTTTAAAAAAGAGCTCACTTCCCCTCCTTCTTTGTAGAGCTACTACCCATTGCCTCTCCATGTGTTGCTCAATACCATTGTAACCTCTGCCCACCCCACAATGAGGCAATGTTACTCTCTGCTTCCTTGCGCTCAGCAAAGAAAAACGTCCAAATACCTCCAGCAACTCACAATTCACTTTACCTTAGAAGATTATTAGCACCTCAGATGCAACTCATTGAGGGACCTTTTAAATAGTCCCAGGGCAAGGGACATTTTGCTTCATAAATGATCCTTGCTTCAGGATGAGTGATCAGTAGACATGCTGCCTATGCACATGTTAACCGATTTTGGTCCCAACATTGCATCAGCACCTCACTGTCCATCCAAGCTGTTTAGGCTGTGCCTTTATGCACCGCTCCATTTGCTAACACATTCAGACTGTGCAGAAAGCAGCTAGTATGACAACACATCCATGAAACTTTCACTGAGATCTTTGTAGCTGGAGGTGAAGCTGACTGAACGTTACAGTACAGAAATGGAGCATGTCCTTTGACAGCAAAGATAAAGATGGCTGGGAATCTGGTCTTTGCTAGATGACTGCTGCACATATCTGGTTCATAAAAGTATTACAAGCTGGAAAATCCAAATACTTTTCTGCAAGTAAATTTACATCAGAGAAAATTACAACCGAGACTAATTGAACCACTTGCATCAAGGTTGTTCCACTTTGTTCCATCTTCTTGCTCTTCCCCCTGCACAGTGTACAATTCTCATGCTCCCATTGCTCATTCAAAACCAAAATTAGCAAAATTTTGCCAAATATTCCCTACAAGGACTATGGATGTTGGAGTCAATTGGAACTTTGAAAGCATGAGATTGATAGATTTCTGTCTGGTTTTGATATCAGGGACATATGAAGCTGGGGCAGATAAATGGATTTGAAGTACAGATTAGGCATGATCTAATTGAATAGCAGCGTAGGCTTGAGAGGCTGAGTAGCCTATTACCATCCCTATATCTTATTACAATTGTCCTGTCACCGATAACATGTAATTCCATTTATCAACCTACTTCCCTTGGTATCATTACCAGTGCCATAAACCTTATCCTCATCTTCCTTCATGAGAATATTTCAAAATATACTCATATCTACTCTGCACATTTCTGTCAAAGTCATAAGCTGATGCAAGCCCATCACAAATTGGAAGAAATTTCTGTCTTCAGCATTTCATTGATGCAAAAAGCTGTTACATTTTGAACAGGCTGGTGCTTTGATTAAATTGTTAATCAAAGAACTTACATGCAAATTCAAATTTCACGATATCTTCATACTTCTAATATTCCAATGTGGTAATTTAAACATTGTTGTGTATTTATTGTTGGCTCACATGGTTCATTATTTACAAATAGTATCACTCTCAAAATTAAATAATAAAGAAATATTTTGCATCCATATATTATCTATCAAAACCTCAGGATATCCCAGTCACCACCATTTACTGTCACAGGAAGAATTTAATTGTGGAATTTGCCAACACATTGAGCTGTTGTGAAGTGAATAGCTTAGGTGTATTTAAGGAAAACTAAATAGTCACATGAGAGATCAAGGAATTGAAGACATGTTGATAGGATTAGATTGGATTGGAGGAGGCTTGTGCAGAGATGAACGGCACAGACTAATTGGGCAGAACAACCTGTTTCAGTGCTCTGTAGCTCTAGTCTGTGCTGCAGTCTGTATAACTGTTATTTATATAAAGTAGTTGAGGGGAAAGAGACACCCAAACCTGAGTTAATTGCCTTGAATCAATGATGGATCTGTATTAGAGAGAGAATTGGAGTTAACGTTAAGAGATAATAGGTCAGGGTAGATTTTGCTCCATGGGCTCCTGAGAGAAAGTAGCTACCTTTTCTGATGAAGGGTCACTGTCTCATAATGGTAACTCTGTGATGACTACACACATGCTGCCAAACTTGCCTTGTTTCTCCAGCAATATCCCTGTTTTTGCTTTGTAATCTTTTCTCTTTCTCTAAGGCACCCGTTTGGCTTGACCACACTCCAGGTATGGTCTTCTTGGAACAGAGAAAGATAGACCCTTGATTAGTAAAGAGATAAAGGGTTATGGGGGGAAAGCAGGAGAATGGGGTTGAGAAACATATCAGCCATGATTAAATGGTGGAAGAGACTTGATGGGCCAAATGGCCTAATTCCTATATCTTATGGTCTTATAAGATATTATAAGACAATTAAGCCCAATGTCCACTTTTGCCTTTCTTTTGCCCTTTATATATCTAAAGAAACTCTTGCAATCTTCTTTCACATTACCGGCTAGCTTACCCTCATAGTTAATGTTCTCCCTCCTTATTTTGTTTTTCATTAACCTCTGATGATCTTCGTAGGCTTCCCAAACCCCTGGCTTTTCACTGCCTTTCGCTGCATTAAATGCTTTCTCTTTTGCTTTTATGCTATTCCTGGACTTTCTTTGTAAGCCATAGTTGCCTCATCCTCCCATTAGTATGCTTCTTTTCCCGAAGGATGAATTTTTGCTGTGTCTCCCGAATTACTACCAGAAACTCCTGCCATTGCTGTTCCACTGTCTTTCCTGCTAGGTTCCTCTCCCAGTCAAAAGTTGAGACATTCGGTGAAGTTCAGATTTTGGTCTTCTGAAGTGC